AGAAGCTTCTTCAGTTCTAAGGTCAAATGGTGGAGAGTCCCAGATATAAACCTAGTGGGAGTATCCCCCCACAGAGGGACAAAAGGACCCCCTGATGATCCTCTAATCGCCTGAGCCAAGGTGTGAAACTGGGTGTGGGTCCCAATCAGCCAGAGTTTCGGGTGAGTTCATTGTGAAACCTGGCCCCACCTTATCATGCGAATTCCTGAGGTCAGATGGCCCAGGATGTGAGTGGGCGTTAAGGCGTCTGGGAAGGGATCTCAAAACTGGATTATAGATGGCAGAGAGTTGGTGTCGTAAACCCCCGCCTCTGTTCAAAGATGGTCGCTCACAGTGGACATAGATGGCTTCTTTCACTCCTCTTTCAAACCATCTGTCCTCTCTGTCCAAAATGTGAACATTGGCATCCTCGAAAGAGTGTCCTTTATCCTTAAGATGCAGATGGACTGCTGAGTCTTGTCCTGTGGAGGTGGCTCTTCTGTGTTGTGCCATGCGCTTGTGAAGTGGCTGTTTGGTCTCTCCAATGTAGAGGTCTGAGCATTCCTCGCTGCACTGTACAGCATACACCACATTGTTAAGTTTGTGTTTTGGCGTTTTGTCTTTCGGGTGAACCAGTTTTGTCTGAGCGTGTTGCTGGGTCTGAAATGCACTGGGATGTCATGCTTGGAGAAAACTCTCCTGAGTTTTTCTGATACACCGGCTACATAGGGGATGACAATGTTGTTGCGCCTGTCTTTCTTATCCTCCCTCGCTGGTGTCTGATCTTCTTTTCAGTGCCTCTTTGCTGACTCACCACTACATATTTCAAATACAACGAAGGCTTTTACAGACAAAAACATGGCTGTGCCATGGGCTCCCCCGTGTCACCTATTGTAGCCAACCTTTACATGGAGGAAGTGGAAAGGAAGTCTTTCTTATCCTCCCTCGCTGGTGTCTGATCTTCTTTTCTGTGCCTCTTTGCTGACTTTAAGAACGCCCATTTAGGATAGCTGCACGTTTTGAGTGCTTCCTTTACATGTGTGTGTTCCTTCTTTTTTCCTTCAGGCTTAGAGGGAACATGTTCTGCCCGGTGGTGTAGGGTCCTAATTACTCCAAGTTTGTGTTCCAGAGGGTGATGGGAGTCAAAGAGGAGGTACTGGTCCGTGTGTGTGGGCTTCCGGTAAACTTCGATGTTGAGGTTGCCGTTCTCTTCAATGTGCACAGCGCAGTCCAGGAAAGGCAAACAGTTGTCCTTTGTGTCTTCCCTGGTGAACTTGATGTTTTTATCCACAGCGTTAATGTGCGCAGTGAAGGATTCCACTTCTTGTGTCTTGATTTTGACCCAGGTGTCGTCTACATATCTGTACCAGTGGCTGGGTACTCTTCCTTTGAAAGAGCCAAGAGCCTTCCTTTCCACTTCCTCCATGTAAAGGTTGGCTACAATAGGTGACACGGGGGAGCCCATGGCACAGCCATGTTTTTGTCTGTAAAAGCCTTCGTTGTATTTGAAATATGTAGTGGTGAGGTCAGCAAAGAGGCACAGAAAAGAAGATCAGACACCAGCGAGGGAGGATAAGAAGGACAGACGCAACAACATTGTCATCCCCTATGTAGCCGGTGTATCAGAAAAACTCAGGAGAGTTTTCTCCAAGCATGACATCCCGGTGCATTTCAGACCCAGCAACACGCTCAGACAAAAACTGGTTCACCCGAAAGACAAAACGCCAAACACAAACTTAACAATGTGGTGTATGCTGTACAGTGCAGCGAGGAATGCCCAGACCTCTACATTGGAGAGACCAAACAGCCACTTCACAAGCGCATGGCACAACACAGAAGAGCCACCTCCACAGGACAAGACTCAGCAGTCCATCTGCATCTTAAGGATAAAGGACACTCTTTCGAGGATGCCAATGTTCACATTTTGGACAGAGAGGACAGATGGTTTGAAAGAGGAGTGAAAGAAGCCATCTATGTCCACTGTGAGCGACCATCTTTGAACAGAGGCGGTGGTTTACGACACCAACTCGTCTGCCATCTATAATCCAGTTTTGAGATCCCTTCCCAGACGCCTTAACGCCCACTCACATCCTGGGCCATCTGACCTCAGGAATTCATGATAAGGTGGGGCCAGGTTTCACAATGAACTCACCCGAAACTCTGGCTGATTGGGACCCACACCCAGTTTCACACCTTGGCTCAGGCGATTAGAGGATCATCAGGGGGTCCTTTTGTCCCTCTGTGGGGGGTAACTCCCACTAGGTTTAATCTGGGACTCTCCACCATTTGACCTTAGAACTGAAGAAGCTTCTCGGATGAGAGGTGAAACGTCTTCAAGTAACTTAAAGAAGTCCAGACGCTTTTCTTTGCTTTCTGTCAGAAGTTTAGTCTTCAACAAGTGAAATACATAGTTGGGTTGAGATGGGGTGACTGACCTAGCCAATCAAGACATTTCCACTTCTTTGCTTTAATAAACTCCTGGGATGCTTCGGCCGTATATTTTAGGTCATTGTCCATCTGTATTATAAAACACTGCCCAATCAATTTGACTGCACTTAGCTGGATTTGAGCAGACAGTTTGTCTCTGAACACTTCAGAATCCACTCAGCTCCTTCTGTCCTGTGTTACATCATCAATAAACACTAGTGTCCCAGTGCCACTGGCAGCCATGCACACCCAAGTCAGCAGACTGCTTCCGTAGGACCTACTAGGCACCAACAAGACACTGTCTGGTCAATGATACACTGATAGTTAAACAAAGTGTTAAAAACCCCAGAAACATGATCACATTCCGAGTGGCCAGAGGAGATGGAAGCAGAGCAAAAAGGAACAATTATTACTTGTGATTTCACACCTGTGTGGGTGTGTGTGGGTGGGTGTGTGGTTAATCCATCACTTGGGTCAGGTCTCACAGGACACAGTAAAACTGCTTTCTCTGATGGCCTCTGCATTTTTTATCTGCCAACCTTTCAATTATTAACAGTGGAAAAACATGGAACCCCTTACTCACACACACACTTTCTCCTCATCTTCCCCCTTCAGTCTCTCTCTCACCATCCCTCTCGCCTGTCTCTGTTTCTTTGCCCTGACACCCCACCCCATGTCGCTCGACCTAAAAGCTTCGCAAAGCGTGACCTATCTGCTCACCCAAGTAAGAGGACACATGTAGAGAGACAGAGGGAGCGATGAGCATGAGAGTAACTAGGGCATATTTTATCTAAACAGATACTTACACACACACACACATACTTACACACAAACTAATTTATCCACTGGCTTCCCATTACAGCAGATCCCCAGATGTGTGTTTGTCTGTGTAATTCAATTCCTTTCACCTTAAGGATCACGGAAATTGTGGAGCTCTTGGTGCTGAAGTAGCCAGACAATTCAGGTTATAAGATTTCTGTAAGTGGTGGGGTTAGTATTTTACGTATTTGTGTTGCTAAACACCTTGCATAAGATTATCAGTGACAGACTAACAATCGCAGTGTCTGGCTAAAAGGGCTTAGTTTAAAGCCAAGAAAAATAAATAAATAAAAACAAAAATCTTGAAAGATTTCCTCAGGCTTACCATGCAATCAGATGAGTTCAATAGCACTCTGGCAAGTGTCACACTAAAATGGTCCCCTGTGCAGCTGATGTTGACAGCAATGGTTCCAATACTGGCCTGTATTGAAGTGGAGCTCATTTATCCTCTCTGGCTATGTGAGTGACATAAGATGCTGCTGGATCAATGCTGAGGTGTGAATATTTTATGGAGGTTATCATGTATCAGGGCAGTTCCAGGATTAATTTGAGTGCAGGTAGTGTACTAACACTTGAGACCAACAAAGAAGTGGAACATATTGGAACAAGGGGTTTGATTTTAAAAGTTTTGAATCCATAGAGATAGGAACATGAAATTTCACACTAAACCCTTTGTATGGGGAATGGGACACATTTACAGTATATCATTCTAGCATGCCTTCCTGTGTCTGAACAGATAATAACAGAACTTTGAAATAATGGACCTTCCATGATTCTCAGTTACCTGCAACAGTCTGTGGACTGTGGACTTTCTATTTCAAGGATACACAATGGATTTCAGCAAAAAATCCAAAGAATGTGATGGTTCAAATGCATTGCTTGTCTACTCCTGGCATCAGTGAGAATATTATTAGCTTAGAAATTTAGTGCAGCGCAGCATGATACAGACTTGAACATAAATTATACATTAAGATATAAAAAAAATAAAAATACACACATATAGTGTTTTGATAGTGAAAGGATTATCAAGCAGTAGATGAGGTCAATGAGACTGACCTAGTTAGTCACATGGCTGTTTTCAAATCCTCAGTTATAGGATAAAACATAGTAACGTATGTGTAATGTGAAAGGGTACTTCAAGAGTACTTCCACCAGGGCAGGGATAGCTCAGTAGGTAGAGTGGTGGCCCCATGATCGGAAGGTCGGGGGTTCGACTCCACTGAACGGCTACCCTGAGGTACCCCTGAG